ACAGAAGAAAATGCAGGTAGTGAAGCACTGCGAAGTATTTGCCAGAACCTTGAAAGTACATATTTTCTTTCTGTTTTCAAGAGGACAGTAACATAGGCAGTGAGCCCTTCATGAAAGGTCTTGCTTTTATTCCACTTCCCGTGAGCCAAACCATCCCAGTGTCACTTAATACGGCAATCTTGGGGTATAGTATTTCCAGGCATAACGCTTCTCTGTGGGTCTGTTATTAAAAGGTAGTAAAGAGTATTTGTGTGCATCATTTACGATAGTTGATGGTAAAGACCTAGGTGCTAAACCCACACTCAGAATAGAGAAATGTATTGCAGCTTTTTTTATGCATCAGTATGTCCTTGCTGCAAAGATCATTAATTGTTGCACAAATATCTGCTCCTGTGATATAAACTACAGTTTAGCTAATGCGAAACAGTTTGTTTGGCTGAACTTAACTTTGAAAGCACAGTTTAATTTAGTTTAATGGCTCTTAGTTTTAGATAGAAGATAATCCTCTTTGTATTGAAAAAAAGAGGAAGGATAATGTTAACTGATTTGTCACATCAGGGTTGGATCTTGGTGGTTGAGTCTTCACTCAGGCTGTCACTTAAATTAGGGGAAAATTGTCCAAGCAAAGCATAACTCTACCTTAACGTTCAGGAAGAAGGAAACGTACCTATTTCAGATACTTGCATTGAAAATTTGTTCTTACAATGTTCATCTGTTGGCGTTACCTGCTGGCAGGTGTTATTGCACAATAGTGGCTTCTCTGGTTTTGAAAGCACTCGCCTGGTACTAGGTGCAGAGTAGGCGTAAGTAATGGTGGCCACCAAGGTGTAATAGCATGTTCCTATTTGTAGGGACACAGGAGTGGGGGGGAATCAGTCGGAGTCTCTTGTAGCAGACGTTGGGCGAGTAGCTGTGGTGCCACCAAGCCCGTTGGTGTCAGAGGGGACCCAGCACGGACCGGGCAACAGATGTGGAAAACGTGCATCATCTTCCACTTGTCGGGAAGACCTGATCGCCTGCAAGAAGCAGAGCACTGTGGCTCAGCATTTGATGTCTGCTTAGGAATTCAAGAACCAAGTGTAATGTTAAGTATTGCATCTCTTCAAATAATTTTTTTGGAAGTTGAGACTTGTTAGGTGTGGTTTGTGTGTAACGTTGTTAGTTTAAACCTTCTACTAAATGACAAACTGGTTGCTCCTTAAGTGTGAGTGCTGGTTAGAAAGCTTGGAAGAGGCTGAGTTGGGGTTTGATTTTGTCACTTAGATGTATTCTTTGTTTATATGAATTGTTTAAAGTTGCAGAAAGTAAGCTGATGAGTGGATTTTGGGGGTAATACTTGTTTCTGGGGCTGTTATTCTTACAAAAAATTTGGAAGGGGCTACAAGTTTCTGTTCAGGATATTCTCAAATGATATATTAAAAAAATAATTGTGTATTTGGGTTGAAACATTCTCTTTGGAGATTGCAAAAAAGAAAAAAAGGCCAGCTGGAAGAAAATCAGGGGCAGGGAGACTCGGACACTTTATAGTGTTCAAAAGCAGAAAAAAAAGAAAGGGATCCTTTTGTTCTTAAGAATACAAATTCTGCGGTAGAAGCCGGAGCATGTTAAATAGTTGTAGCCCAAGTGGGAATGAGGCTTGTTTCTCTCCACTGATATTTTTTTCCCTTCCCTGTTCAAATTCTGAAAGGGAAGACAACTAGTATCCGCTACAAAGTTTTATTGGATTTATGCTTTTCCTTATTTCTAGAAGGCAATGCAAGCTTACCTGCTGCCACAGCTGGGGAAGAATTCACAACACTCACGGAGAGAGTGGCTGCTTTGACAAACAGCGTGACTAGGATAGGGCACGGATGGCTGTAGAGGCAGGAACGGTGTCTGGAGGGATGGTCTGTGCTAGGGGTGCTAGATTAGATCGTCAGCATTAGCCCTTGAAGTGTGTTTTTGGTAGGCAGAGAAACTTGAAGCAAGTTTTGGATACTGCAGCTACTTTACTCGATGGTGGATACTATGGTTATAGTTTGCTATAACCGCAGTTTGCTGTGGTTAAAAATGCGCTGCTCTACTTGCTGTGCCTGGCTTTCTTGTAAAGGGCTTGTAACCAGTGTATCCTGGCCGTAGTGGCAGTGTGGGCCTTATCTGAAGGATTTTATTACTCCTATTATTTTTACTATTAGTATGCCAGTTGCTTAACTTACCTGCTTTTTAACCTTCCGAAGCTTGCTGCTAGTGTGAGTGAAATGGCCAAATTAGGAATTGGAAAGCTATTGGGTTATTTGCATTATTTAAAAAAAAAAAAAAATCTGTTCTAGTAGTACAGCCGTTCTTTAAATATGCTCTCGGTGTTGACCAAAGTCTCAGCAGCTTTCTGCTCCCTTCACCTGTGCAGCAGGAGAAACCCTGTCAGCAGGGCTGGCCCCCTTCCCGCAGGTCCCCTGCCTGTGCACACTGCTGCCTGCTCTCTTCGCTTTCAGTTTTGGGTTTGCCCTTACCCAGCGAGCCATCGTGGCGTGTAAGAAGGAATATGCGAATATGGGTTTTTGAGAAGTTGTGCTAGTTATGTCAGTGGCTGGCCAGAAAATGATAAAACTTCATAAATGTAGTGTGCCGTCACAGGCACAGATAAGGAGCGAGAGAACACGGGGGGAGGTGTCTCCGCAGGAGCACTTTAAGGCTGGTCTTTTTTGGATTCCAGCCTTCTCTAGGGAAATGCAGTTGACTTATTTATGTTTGGGGTTTTTTTTAATTTTAGTTCAGTTTAAAATTTGTATCTTCATTCAAGCAGTGCAGCACTCCTGCAACAGGAGTGGCAGCTCAGTAGCTGCAGAGGTTGGATGTAAGGCTTGGAAATAACATCACAAGCAGGCACATCAGAGTTGTGCAAAGTAGAAAAACTTTGAAGGTGCTCTCAAATTCTTTGGTATTTCCCATGAATGGCTTGGGTTTCTGACTTAGCTGGTTGTGTAAACAGCAAATAACTGTAAGTCTGGGCAGAAGTGGCAGCTTGAAGCAGTGAGGTTAATCATGTATAATCATGTAGGGAGATGGTATCTGCCCTCTCTTTGAAGATTTCTTGACACTTTATCTGGTAGATTTTTTTTTTTTTTGAGTAGGCGGTTAGCAGGTTGTTTGACACAAGCTAATGTTGTCAGCTTTTAGTGTGGTTGCATCAATCTGAAAAATCTTTTCCATACAACCAAAACACTTTTTCTTACGTGTTTATTCTCAGTCACACAGACAGAAATTGCTGTGTATGGGATTTTAAATGTGAGGATGGTAAATATCTTCACTGTTCAGTGGAACAGGTAACTGCTTGATCTGATCTGCAAAACATTTCAGCATCATAGTTATTTAAGGCTGAAGACTAGATCATCTTATGTTCACTCAGAAATGTATGCAGATTCTAGCATAAAATGAGTTATAGTTTGTGTTGGGTGAAAAATCCAAATGCCAGTGGTGTTGAGGTGGGTCAGGGGCCTGATTACAACCTGTTGCGGAGACTTTGTAATAAGCTGTGGTAGTGAAATGAAATATTTGGGTATATCTGGCTTCAGTAAGAGCATCTTGGTATCATTATACAGAAAACCAGTGCCAGGAGAGGCTTATTAGATACTTGGATTTCCCTGTGACAGGGAGTAGAACTTTTCTGGGTATTCCATTATCTGTATGTATAATCTTTAAATGCAGATGTTACATGTGAGCAATTAGCGTTTTGTATGTTTATTTCTTTAGAACACATGAAACCACTGAGTAGCTTCATAAGAAAGTCTCTCTCTAGATGTTTGTAGTAAAAATTGGGTGCAGGTACAGAGCTCGGCAGCAGAAACCCCTGAGTTCCCATGTTCCAGTTGTAGACTTAATGATACTTGCGTACTACTTTCATTGACAATCCATCGTAGTCTAATCTATGCAGAAAATTTGAATCATATTTATGACCAATATAACAGCTATGGACAAGCATGAGCAACTGTTGCAATTAGTATTCAGCTCATAATGGAAGACTAATGGAGTTGATAACCTGGTTTTCTTCCCCTCCTAAGCTGTGTGGACATAGGGAGCATAGATCTTGCTGGCATGTTGAAGGGGCTGAATCGATCATGAATAGTCAGAGTATTCAGAGTATAAACTGCTTTGTGATATGCCAGACCAGGAGGGAGAGGTTTCGAGTTGTTAAGCTGAGAGGAGATAAGAATTTGGATGAGGAATGCAGGAGAGAGGAAGGTACAAATTTCTGCGAGACTACCTGAGGATCAGTAACCAAGGTATGGCTTACATACAAAGCTTTTTTTTTTATAAATCATAATTTGAAATGGAAATAGTCTTTGAAAAGACAGTTTGCTTGTGTATTTTGTCCGAGCACCATTGGGACTGCAGACAATTGTGTGAAGACGGTGTGTCGGAGGCTGGCACGGCCGTTCCCCCATGGAAGCGTGAATGCCCTCTTGTCTTCTGTGCTCCTGCCAGTGAGCTTAGGTCCTGGGCCTCGGGACAAAGTCTTCTCAGTTACCTTCTCTTGTTCTTTGTTATTTGTGCGAGGTTTGCTGCTTCAGGGAACCAGAAGCTCATTTGAAAAATTAAATTGAAAGATATGAAGGAGACTATGTTTATCAGGAAACTTATTTTTATCACTCGCTCTGTTCCTTCTCTTAAAGTGTAGCCACAGTGCATGGCTGGCAACTTCTTGAAAGCTGCTTTTTCACTATTGTCCCCCCAAAATTGGCTGTGATTCCATGACATGGATGGAAGAAAGGGAGCATTATACTTAAGAATGTTAGATGAGGGTAAAAAAATGATGAAACAGCAGTTTGGAGTATTTCTTAATTTTAAAAATTCTGTCTTGTTTGGTAGCAGCAGTAGTACTTCACGTTAAATAAGGACACCGATTTGGTTCTTCGTAAGTGGAGTATTCTTCCGTGGTTGCTGAAATCTTCATACTGCTTTTGGTGAAGTCATTTTTACTGTGTAAAATTGACTGTAGATCTCTCTTTTTATTGTCATTATAGAAAACCTAGAATAAACTCTCAGTTGGTGGCACAACAAGTTGCCCAGCAATATGCAACCCCACCACCGCCGAAGAAGGAGAAGAAGGAGAAAGTGGAAAAACAAGACAAAGAAAAACCTGACAAAGAGAAGGAAATTAGTCCAAGTGTTACAAAGAAGAACACTAACAAGAAGACTAAGTAAGTCTGAAGGATGCACTATTAAATGTGGAGTGATTTCAGTAGCACTGTGCATTGATTAATTGTGCGGTTAATCTAACATCATGCTCTCCCTCTTCCCTCCAATTCTTACAGACCAAAGTCAGATATTGTGAAAGATCCTCCTAGCGAAGTGAACAGTATACAGTCTGGGAATACTACAACAAAGACCAGCGACTCAAATCACACTTCAAGGTAACTTTATCCTAAAGTTAAGCTCTCAGTATCTCAGAACTGTGTTAAGTAGCAGGCACTGTGGTTTTTTTTTTTGATGGCCTGACAGAGACGGAGTACTGTGTAACCCACAGGGTCTGTCAGTGTTAGTATGGCAAGACCATCAGTGGCTAGGAGCCTTCTCCATGTACAAGCACTCAAACACACTGCTGGTGAGGATAGATTCAGGCATTGGAAATGTTTGTTTTGTTGTCCACTCAGTTTTCATTTCTCTGCTAAAACAATCATTGTGAATTGGGCAGTAATGCTTTTGGCTGTAAAACAGAGTGCGGGGGGGATGGGAGGGGGGAATGAACCAGCAATCATAGTGGTCTTTATCAAATTCTTATCATCACTCGATAGCAGTAACAAAGGTTACTTTTTTACTTCCTTATCCGTAATTCAGTCACTGTAATTGTCAAGATAATTTTCCAAGTGTATGGGAATTAAAAGACTGCATGAACAGATTTGCTAGAATCTTGCTATAACAAAAAGCATGAATGGTTGGTTTCATGTTTGTCTAAGTTTCAAATGAGTAGCTGTCTATGGAGAGAGGTTTATTCCTAGTCTTGCCTATACTGATACTCCATGCTTGTTTTCTTTAAGTGGTACCTTGTGCTCTATTTCTTAAATCAAAAATTTGGCATCAAAGTACAGTTCTTATATTATTGAACTTGCAGAGGCAGAATTCAACTGGGCGTTTTGCCTATGTGGGCTATATAAGAATTGCATCTCTCTTCAAAATGTGCTGTAGTAAGTATTGTATAGTGAAGCCACATGAACTGAAGCAATATTAGTTAGCTGCAAACAGTTGTAAAGCACATGGAAGGTATGGTTCGCACTGCTGTTAGCATTAAGGTTGGCAAGACATGACTGCAGAAAACTGTTGTCTTGGAAGTTTTTAAATAGTAGCATGAAAATGTTTAATAAGAGTGAATATCCTTTACACAGTAACTCACTTGAATGTAGTGAGGGCAGTGTGAGATTTGCTGTGCTAGAAGACTGAGCTGTTTGTGGGGGCTGCTGTTAGCTTTTCCTCAGCCCCCAAAGATGAGTGTCCATTCCTGATTTGATTAGGGAAATATGGCTTTACTGCAGTGATTTTTTTTTTGTCCTGTTCTTTTTGAAATGCTACTTAATTTGAGACTTAGGCTGCAGAAGACTTGATGCGCTTGACTAATGACATAATATTAAATTGATAGATTACGTCAAATAATTGTTTTTACTCCTTGAAGGAGTCACTCTGTCTACTGCAGAGTCTTTTAGTCCATGTTTTGTGGCAAGCTTTTGTCATTTCTAATTAATCCTTAATAGTATCAAGTGTAGCTGGATATTTTTAAGGCATACATCATCTGCTTCAGTTCTTAAACTGTCTTTTTAAGTGTTTAGTTTAGTGGAACTTTCCTTGCAATTCACTGCCCTCAGGAGTGCTGTCAAGAGTCTTTTAAAAGGATCGGATTTTTACAGAGTCACAAGTTATCTATGCAGGTTTTTTTCATGCCCAGAATTCTTAACTGTTTTTTGTAAATGGTCTTTTAAGGATCTCTGGATTTTTAAGGAATCCTCTTTGAACTTCTTGGATACCATGCCTGTTTCTGACAAAATACCTTGGTTTATTCCATGCCTTCCTGTGCACTTTCAGATTGATTGCTGTGAAACACACTTCTTATTTGGCCATAAACCTTTTTAGCTATAAACATGAAGCATCAAGGTGTTTAATTTTGCAAAATAAGGTGAATGGGCCAATCCCTTTGCCTTCTACAGGAAGCCAAAATTGTATGCATGTGCTGAAGAGATTGTCCGGAGGTTTCCATCTGTGCTTAATCAGCTCTTTGCACAGGGGACACCCTAAAACATCCTGCAGAAATGGTTGGAGGGCTCAGTTCTAAAACTGACATTGAGAATATGTTTGTGAGCGGGACTGTTGAGAAATCCTGCACCTCAGCCCTGCTTCTCCCCAGTCCTTCCATGTTACTTCGTCATGGCATTTAAAGATGCATGGGTAGATGCAGATTCAGGCGCTTGGTGCATGGCTTATCTCAAAGGCTGCTGGTAGCGGGAGCTTTTCTGGGCAAAACTTAACACAGCTTAGGCCATACGAACTCCTTTTTTTCTTTCTTTTTTCTTTTTTTTTTTTTCTCTAAATATGACTATCAGTGCTGGCTTTTGACAAGCAATAGCAGGAGTGCATGTTTAACCCTGTAGAAAGGTGGAGGCAGTAAGGTCTGTTCCTCTATCTAGGCCAGTGTTGTTTTGGCCGTTTCTGAGTGCAAGAGAAAACATATGACCCAGGCAAATTACAGGAAGAACTGGGTTTCCTAGAGGAACTCGGGGCTTAGGGAGGAAAATACGTATGTGTACTACGCTTCCCGGAACGCTTGCTGCTGTGTTTGCTGCTGATGCTTTGGGGGCAGCCTTCATCTGCTGAGATGCTATCTGAAAGCCGACGGAAACCCCAAAACTTGCTGAGCTAGCCGGCCTTTCTTGTAACCCACAAACAAGGTGACATCATTTAATCTAGCCTGTGGTTACGTGTTGAATTTGCCAACTCCTGCAAGCACGTATGTACGACGCATACGCGTGGGCGTGTGTCTCACTGCTGCGGGAATTCACGAAGCACAGCTACGGGATTGAAAAGGCTGGTCACTAAACGACGGGGCTGTTTCAAGTAGGAGGTTTTACTGATGGTTATCCCAGCATAGTAGTATTTTACTTGTGTTTTCTATCAGAAATGCTTTTCCTGTGGTACTTGTTAAAAATTGAAACAACCTCCTAGGTTAGATATGAAAATACTGTTTTTGGTGCAGTAACTTCATTTTTGGTAAGGAAGTTTGCAGAAATACAATTGCTCTATTTTTGAAGCTGTACATCCGTCCTTAATACTTTATTCAATTCCGTCTAGTTCTAGAATACCACTTGGATAACTACTTTTTAAGGACCTTCCCCTTGTTAACTTAGCACTGCAAGCCATTGAGTAGGCAAATACAAAGTCAGCTTAATTTTCTCTTTTTTTGTTTTGTCTGCATTAGCCTAGTGTGCTGCAGACGAGGAGGAGGAAAGGCAGATTGGTTTAAAAGCTAGAGCTTGATCCCAAAGTAAACTCACCTTCCTGCCATCCCTTGGAATAAGGCAGTTCTCAGCAAGCTACTTTTCACTGATGTATAAAGACTCTCGTTTTTTATTTCCCTATTGGGAATATTCTGCTGCTTAAGCCTGACCCTTAATTAGGAGCAAAAGCTGTAAATTGCAGCAGTCGCTGCAGCTGACTTGGAATTTGCTGGTAGCTGGAGGAGTGTCCAAGGCTTGTTGTATCAGAGCTTTGGACCAGCCCCTGAAATGTGCATGAATGTCAGCTTCCTAGAGTCTAGACCCTTATTAGCTACATTACTAATTGAATGATAGCACAGCATGCAAATTACTGAGATAATCCTGAGCTATAAATACCAGTGTGTTCTTTTCTGGTGGTTTTGATCCTGCCCTGCCTCCTTCCCCTAACCAAAAGCGCTAGCTGCAAGAAATACTGTTGTACATTCTGGATTTTATTTACAATAGCCTCAGTTCCAGAGGGAACATTCTGAGCGATTTTATACATAGGCTGATTGGGCATCTGATTTGTATAAGCTCAAAGCAGTTGAAAGAGAAGCCAAGTTGTCCCAGTGCCTGTGTTGTTTGCAGCTGCAGAGTTCCAATATGGGAATGAAAGAGCCGTGGTCAGATGCTTTCATGTGGTTTTGTATTGCAGAGTCACAGCCTTGTCTCATAACATCAGGGCACATGATCAGATGGTGAATTTAGATAAGAGAACTCTTTCATCTGCCCCTTGGGGAGGAGATCCTTCGTTCTGTCTGGCTCCTGTCCGCTTGGCTCTGCTGTAGCGTCCTCCTTTCTGGCAGAGTTGGATTAGGGATAAGTCTACAGCAGACGCCCTTTGCAGAGCTCTACAAGACAGGTCTTTCCTCTCGGGCTGAATGTGCTGCTGCAGCCCTCGCAGCCCTGGCTGTCGCAGGGAGCAGGTCAAACCTTTGTCCTCAGCTGCCCACTTACTGCTACCTAGGTTCTCCCAGTTACTGCCATCTGTGCAGGCGAGCGGAGGACAAGTCACACCGAGATTGTTGTCAAATGCTTTTTCTAATAAACTTCCTTTCTTGTTTATTTTTATCCTTTTTATAAATGCTTTCTCATTTATTTTAGACCCAGACTGAAAAACGTGGACAGAAGTACCGCACAGCAGCTGGCAGTCACAGTGGGAAATGTCACAGTAATTATCACAGACTTTAAAGAAAAGACTCGCTCTTCTTCCACGTCGTCTTCTACAGTGACCTCCAGTGCAGGATCAGAACAACAGAATCAGAGCAGCTCGGGCTCTGAGAGCACAGACAAGGGCTCGTCCCGTTCCTCCACGCCAAAGGGGGACATGTCGGCAGTCAACGACGAATCTTTCTGAAAATTGCACATGGAGTTGTGGAAACTATGAATCAGGGTATGAAATTCAAACACTCCACCTGCCCATGCTGTTCAAATCCTGGAGAGCCTCTTCTGTGCTTGAACACACACTTTCTCGGACATCGACCTCTTACTGATGCAACCAGGATAATTTCTGCTTGCCGTGGGCATCTGGCCACCAAGGAATTTCTCACCCTAACGATTACTCTTGACACTTTTATGTATTCCATTGTTTTATATGATTTTCCTAACAATCATTTATAATTGGATGTGCTCCTGAATCTACTTTTTTATAATATCTGCTGTGCACAATTTTCCATGAACATTACAACTTTTTGTTTTGGGGTAGGGAGCGGGTGGGGAGGGAAGGGGGCTTTATTTATTGCATTCACAAACTCCATCCTCTTTCAACATATCCTTTTTAAGTTCAGTTCTTCTTCCAGTTATACTGTGTACTATCAGTTTTGATATAAATTATATATAAATATATATATAAATAAATATATATAAAGGGTTATTTGAAACCAATACATGGAAACGCTGGTGCTTGAAACACTGTGAAGTGAAAAAAAAATAATTGAACAGTTCAAGATCTGGGACAGTCCCCTTCTGTGAAAGTACTGAAACTGAAATGGAACTGGTCTTAGGTGAAAAGCGTTCCTGAAGGTTTGAACCTGGATGGGACCCGTTCTCTCTATTGTTCCTTCCCCGTTTCTTCCCGGACAATGGCTAAAACGTACTGGACACACGGTTTTGATTTTTATAGCTTGGGATCTGACATGAGAAAAGATTGCTCTGGTAGCTTGTATTTCCACTAGGGTAACTCAGATTGGCGATGTGCAAGTTCGTGCCCGGCTGGTGCGTAAGCATTCACAACCAGACCGGTGTCGGCATGCCACGGATTCGTCTGTTTTGGTAACGTGAGCATCGCTATGTCGTGTATAGCCGATCCCACAGACGTTTGGTTTTCTTAGATTTAATGAGTTTCATCCACCTGCATCGGTGACCGAGGTAACTTTAGAACTGGAGTGGTTTGCTTTGGGTTGGAAGGCAGCAGGGAGCCGTAGGGCTGGGAGCGATTTGTGGGTTGAGGGAGCAAGCTGGTGCCCGTTCCAGCCGGCGGCGCGTGGGTCGGTTGTCAGCCCCCTTCCGTCTGTCCCGTCCGTATGGGGTGGCTCTTCTCCTTGAAGTCCATCTGTATTCCAAGAGTGGTTTCTGAACAGCATCTTGTCCAGTGATGACATTGGGCTTGTCAGCATTTGGACGCTTCTGGGTCTCCTGCTGCGGGAGCAGAAGTAGGGAAAAGCTTTCATGCTGGCAAGCGAGCGACACGTGTGGCTCACGCTCATGACCAGCATCTCCTTCATTCTTGCTCTAAAGCTATTCAGACTGTAATTTCTTTTCCTGGCCTGTTAGTGTTGCTTTACAGTTTACCTTCCATGCATTATCCTGCTAAAACACTAGGCTGAAGAGGTGAAACAAACTTTTTAAAAAAAAAAAACAAACAACCCAAAACCCCAAACCTCTTTGGCTTTCCATCTTTATTTAGTGGCCCCAGGGTGCTTTGCAATAATTTCAGGTGCAGAGGCTGTGGCTTCACTTGACATCAAATGCATAACTTCTGGGCATGATGAAAGAGGGCCACATTTTGACAACTTTGTGCCAGCTTGTTATATTGTGAATTATTTGCTTAGCAAGAGTAATTTCTCTTTGTGGAGGCAACTGATTTAAGATTTCTTTTAAAATCTGTTGTGGTTTTGAGTAGCAGATGTAGGTTCCTTTCACACTGGCGACAGAAGTGTGCCAGTAAGGGATCCGTTACAGCCCCTGCTCGAAGATGCGTGCAGTGGCAGTGCCTTTGCAGCAGTGGTTTTATTCTGAATACGTTAACGTGGGCACCCTGACTTAATTCTGCTTATATTCACAGTATAGGCTGTCTTTACCTTTTTAAGCATTTTTAAAGTATTTATTAAAGAACCAAAGGAAACCAGATGCTTCCTATGAGCATCAAGACAATTTATTATACATAGTTTTAAATACTATGAATTTCTCAATCCACATTTTAACATTAGTGGGATATTGCAAAGACATTCCTTTTCCAGTTTTTACTATTCCTTTAAGGGTCTCAGGGAGGGTAAACTGGTCAGCCATATTTATTTATTTTACTGAAATGTATTGGAATAATTTTTTAAGAGAGATTTTTTGAAGATGCCCCTGAACTTGTATATTTTGCACTGCTTTATAAATGATCCATTATCAATTAGGCTTGCGTGCATCTCGGCCGTGATCCAGCAAAGAGTGTGAGCGAGTGGCGAGTCCCTCTGGCTTCGGCGGGGCTAATTCTGGTGCTTCAAGTCAAACCGCGTGCTCGCCTTCTTCGTTGAATCGGGGAATTTGTGCAAAAAAAAAAAAAGCATTGTGTGTACCAGGAAATTGTTTCTTTTTCAAGTGAAAATGGACCTGTAGATCAGTTGAAAAAGCTTTAACGCCATAACCAGCTACTCATGGCTACTGGTAAAGTCGGTAACATCTGTCTCTTCGGGCATGCCTCCCCGATAAAGTAGCTTGCTATAAGTAAGTGGGAAAATTTCTTTGGAACAAGTGACCTGTAATTCTGCATTCAGTAGAAATTGCTAGCTAAGCATTGAACCTCCCCGGCCCCACCTGTAGCTGTTGTGTCGTGGATTTGAAGGATAGCGTTTGCTTTTACACTTAATTTCTGAAGTTAGCATCCCCACGGCACGCGTCCGCGGGTGGGATTCCCTCCGCGCTGTGTCCGTGGCTCATCCCGCTGTTGGTGGGGAGCGTGTTTAAGAACCAAACCAACTAAAACACTAGTGTAGGGGAAGGACCAGATTCGTGGTGTTCAGTGGCACAGAAAGCAGGTAAGTAAAGCACAGTGTTACGTTTGCGAAGTTTCAACTCTTACACAGACACACACACACACACAGAGACACCAACACAGCTTGCCTGACTCGCTCAGTTTGACATAGTTCTGCAAAGGAGAAATGACAGCGTTTTACACCACCAGGCTATTTATTTTAATTGGAACACTTTGCTTGTTTCAAATCGGACAGATCGAAAATTTGGCAGCAGCTTCCGTGAGTTTATTTCCACTGAGATGTTTTCACCTGCCTTACCAAGATCATTCTCAGTCTACTTTTTTAAGCTCTACCGTAAACTTAAATTATTGAAAATTTATTAATTGCTGACTATATAATAACCTTTGCTTGTATGTAACCGAATGGTTTTAAGAGCCAACATTTAGAGTATGACAATGGAGCTGAACAGTTTTTAATGCGCAAGCAGTTCTGTTCTTGTGTATGACTTGTAACCTTAATTTACTGTGTAAAGATGGTTACATTATTTCCTTAGCTTTGTTTGTTGGAGACAAATATAGAATGCTTGTTTAAGTATGTCAAAACATAATCTTATCTTGTGGATTTTTATGTTAATGTATTATACGAGCTATATTTTTCATTTGCCCAGAAAGACAGCTTGTATAACGCTTTTGAAAGTTTTTCCGCTCTGTAAAGTCTTTAGAGCTGACAGTCCTGTTAGGTTTGTTTTAATCTTCATGCTAAAGTGTCAATGGTGGTTTTGTGAACTGGTCAGAAATTCACAGGTCTTAAATGTTTTCGGGAAATTTATATTGGACACTGCTCTTTGTCTAGCAAATAAAAGATGTTAATATATTCCTGTTACTGGCATGTGCACGACTGTTATTAGAAGCCACTTTATCATTTTCCTGCTTTAAATAGAAATGTCTATTTATGAATTCTGCTTGTAGTTTTTTCACAAATAAAATAGTAAAATTTAATTAAATCTGAAAGCTCTCTTTTTTGGGAGATGCCAGTATTCAGAAAAGCAGAGTGTCCTGTTGTTGGAGCAGTTTGTCAGTCTGTACGTCTTGTCCGTGAGCCACCGCTTGAGCACCCCACTTCTGCAAACGCAGGGTTGTGCGCGTAGAAAACTTCAGTCAAGTGAGTAAGTCCAGTTTGTTCCCTGGGACTAAAGACATACAGAAAGCTTGTGGCGGATGTGTCTGCAGAATTTGGGTTCTGGTACTTTGAAATAATCATTTTTTCCCTTTTCTGTAGCTGCCGAAATGGTGAGGCTTAGTGCAAAGGATTTTAGTGAGAGCCCTCGGGAGTTCCTTCGGCTGTCTCGTGCTAACAAAGTCCCACGAGTAAAATTAATAAAATTTAATTGAGAGCCTAATTGTATTTTTGTAGTGTAAAAATAATGGTATTTTGTAAGCAGTATTTTAGTCCTCTGCCTAGGAAACAAGGTGATGTGAATTACTGTGCTCTTTCTAGTTCATACTTTTCCCCCGCCTGAGATGGGAGATGTGCGACGTAACTGTTCAAATACAAAGTTGAAATTTGAAAACCAAGCAATAGGTAAAATGCAAAGGGGGAAAAAAAAAAAATCTTGATACAGTTTTTCCTCAGGAATATGAGGACAGCTACTAAACTAAAAGCTATTTGGATATTTTTGTGTATGCGGGGGGAAGTGTGTGTTACAACTAGAGGTCGCTTTAAAAAAACCACTGTGCAAACAGACTCTTAAATGCTTTTAACCTCAGTTGGAAATGATTCAAAATCCTTTGTGCCAAGAATAAGAAGAAACAGGAAAGGTAGCGGTTGTTCTACAGACCCGAAAAGCACTTGCTTGGCATGCTGGACGAGTGAGTAGAGAAACAGTCCTTGCCTCGAAGAGTGTACGGTCCCCGTCCTCGATCTGCAACCAGCCGAAGGTGCCGGAGCAGCCGCCTGGGCAAAGCAGCAAGAGCTGCGGGGAGTGGAGGAGACGCGCTTCATCTTCGTCAGCATCCACCTCCTTCATCACCAGGTGGAGGCTTGAATGGAGCCAGCAAACTATTTCCATGGCAGCGCTGGTCCCCGCCGAGCCTGCCCACTCACCACTTCACCGGGATTTTGGTTGACCAGTCTCCTGGAAATCCCTTGCCTCGGAGCGACGTGAGCCGAGACCCATGTTGGGTGGTGGAGCTGCGGAGTCGGCCCTGCCGCGGGGGAAGGAGAGTGAAGGCTGCAGGATAAGGGCACCTGAGGCTGCTTCAAGGTACGTACTGGACTTAAGGTATGTACTGCACTTACGTGTTGTGTTGAAAGGTTTGCGTTTGGTACCTATAGGGAGTGCAGAAAGAGCTGGGGAGATGGGGATGGGGAGCTCTAGTTCATGGCTCCTTTGGGTTTTGTAAATTTTCTGGGCTAAACTGTCAATTGTTTTAAGACTTGAAGGTGTTATAAAAATCAGCATCCACTCGCATCACTGGGAGAGAGAAGAAAAAGCCCTCTCCTCTGTAAGGCTCGTGTCAGCTAATTTTTTAAACTTTTTATTTAAATCT